AATTGTTAGGGAATATCCAAAATCAAACCCAAACCATTGCTGTCAAGTTCATTTGTACCCATAGCATGCTTATTTGTCAGTGTGGGACTGCTCTGTGGGTTTCCAAGGCTGTGATCTTACAAAGTAAAGTAAACTGTCCTGTCTTTCTCTAGAATCTGGGGATTAGGCTCAAACCACCAACCAACCAACCTTTCCGTCAGCAGGTAAGTATTTAACCATCAGGGCTCCTTGGGAGTGAACATCCTGTAAATCAGATCTCTCAGGTCACTTTTATAAATGCTCCTTTTCCAATGACATTTTCACAAACAATGAAATGATAAAACATATAAATATATCCATTTACTTAAAAGAGTCTTCTTCCCTTTGGTTAAAAGAAAGTAACCATCATTTAAAAAAGCATTTAACAGCATAGCTTTGAGATGGGGACTGAATAATTCTTTGTGCTTTTGATCTTATATCTGACCGGACAGATCTCTCATTTATGGGCTTTTCTGTGGTCATATGCTACACGCATCTTTTGTACGATTTCAGTTTCTGAACGTTATCTTGGTAGACAGCACTATTTCTTGTTCAGTTTGGAAGATGCGGATGTACTTTTTTTACCGCCAGGGCCTCACAGCTTGCTTTTCCCTCAGCAGCCACAGGGCGGCAGGACATACCATGTTGCCCAGTTGTCTGTATTTCCAGCTAGTTTGGAAAATAGATGCAACGCCTATCCAGGAAAAGAATGCCACCGTCAAGTTGCTAAAGGTTTTCACTTAAGTTCCAGAACCCTAGGCCCTGTTTATGTTCTCCTCCAGAAATGATACTGCTGACGAAAGCACGAGGGGACCTGAAAGTGGTTGGAAAGTTCAAATCTTAGAACATGATTTCAAAGTACTCAGAGTGTTCAGGGAAAGTTCAGAACAAGAATATTCCTCACAGTTTTCTTTGTTGTTGTTGCTGTGTGCCACGGAGTAAATCACAGGTGACCCTTTAGCAAGTTTTCATAGGGGAGGAGAGTATCCACTTTCTTCCCTCAGAACAGCTGGTAGACTCAAACAGTCTGCCTCTGGGTTGGTAGCACAACTCCTTACCCACGAGGCCACCGAAGCTCCTTACCACCCACTAGGCCACTGAAGCTCCCTACAGTTAGCTTTAAATATTTTTAATTTTGCAGGTATCTTCTTTCTTTCTCTCTCTCTCTCTCTCTTACACACACACACACACACACACACACACACACACACACACACACACGGTCTTTGCATAGCTTTGCAAACATTGGGGTGGATTTCTATTTAAAACAATCCTCCCAGGTAGAACGAGATAAGGCTTTATACATTATTGTGGACTACTGCCAATTTGAAATAGGAACTTTTTCTTAAAGAAAAGTAGAAGAAACCAAATTGGATTTGGATCCAGAAAGTCTTTTGCTAGTTGCTTGTCCTGGATATATTTCTGACTAGCCTGAGACCTCAGGTTTTCCCCATTGACTTTGTACCTTTGTGTTTTGATCTGAAAACGATTGTTGAGGCCTGTTCAAGCAAAGAGTGGGCAACTTCTCTTCTTGACTAGAGCCGAGGCTGGGTAAGACTGAAGAAGGCTAATGTCTGCCCCTGATGAATCCTGAAAGCCAGGCACTGACCACGTCCTTCGTGGTCCCTGTCCCAGTGTCATTTACTGCTCCACACGACTCCAGCTAGTGTGCTGAAAAATCCTAAGCCACAATAAACTGGTTCATTATTAGATTTCCTGTTTACCGATAGCTTGTAACAGATAATAACTGCTGTGGGCAAAATAGAGAGAAAGCAAGCAAGGCTGCAGCTCCAAGCAGGAAGCGTTCTCATTGGATAGAGGGTCTGAAACCATGAATCATCATTAGCCAGACTCCATACAGTTAGAAATTAAAATACTGATAACACAAACCACAAGCGTTATCCCTCCAGGAGGGATGGAGGCGGACCACAGGCGGAAGTCTTCCAGGATGACTCCAGAGAGGCAGATGGAGAGCAGGCCTAATGGTGCTCCTCCTAGTGGGGACAGATGGGCAGAAAGGGAAATGATGCATCTGAAAAGTGAGGCATGGGGACATTTTGAGCCTAGACCTGTGGAAGTAGCCTTTGCAAGCCAGTAGAAGGTTAGTGACAGCTTGTGAGGACAGCAGCACAGATGGGAGATAAGTACATGTGTACAAAATTACAGAAGGAATGGAAGGAAATCTATAAAGGGGGACATGTCAGTTTGTTATAGTGGAGAAACACTGTGGGATATTTCTTCCCTTGAGTTTCATTGCACACACTGCCACAGTGTGGCACCATGGGCTTGAACGTGGCAGGGATCATAAGGATAGCACGGGATGGGGCAAGGTTCAGATATGCTGTGCACAGTCACTGCGAATCTTGGTCAACTTGACGGCACTTGACAATAACAGCTCCATTTCCTATTACGCTGTGACTTTAGCAAATAGAACAAATTGTTTTTTAAAGGACAGTCAGAAGAGGGTAGGAAAACCAAATGGGAATAGTCAAGCACCTGTAAGTACCAGATTCTGCGTTTCAGAACTAGTAAGCATAAAACCAAATGAGGAGAACATAAAGGGGAATGGAGTGGGGCTGGGGTGGGGGGAGGAATGGGGTTATCCGAGGAGCTCCATCCAGTTACCATGGAGTCGGTTCCAAAGCATGATAACTGCATCTGGTTTTGCTCCACAGGGGTTCCAATGGCTGATATCTGGGAAGGGGAACACCACCTCTGGGTGGATGTGAACTGACAACTTTGTGGTTAGTAACAGAGCCTTTGTACCACCCAAAGAGTTCTGTCAGCTGTACAGTGGTAAAGAGCCCAGTAGTATTCAGTTTCCCTATCAGCAAATGGGAATAATCACATATCTCACAGGTCTGGTGTAAAGATTAAGAGAAATAATATTAAGGACCTGTGCCTGACACAGGAGCTCTCTGTGAGTGTTCCCCACTTACCTGAGGGAAGTTAGTGCACAGACCCAACCATGGAGGACAGACCCCAGATCTTTAGACAGCTTGCAAGTGCTAAAAGGGATGAGGAGACCAGGGGAACGAAAGTCTTTTCCCTTGCTGGCAGTCAGCTCAGAAGTCCCTGCACCAGTAATAACTGAAAAAAGAGGATGTAAAGGCAAAGGGCAGAGGGTAGGAAAGGAGAGGTAAGAAGAGCAAACCAAGAAAGTGTGGGGAAGGAAAAGAAATCACCTGAGAGCAAATAAAACCACCAAAATTCAGAGAGAGGGAGAGAAAGAAATGGAATAGAAATACTGGGCCGAGGATGGATGGATGGATTCTTCTTTGCTACACAGGGGAGAGCAAGTTAAGGTCCCAGCCCCAGATTCCATCCCGGATGCGCAGCTCTGTGACCTTGGAAGCACATTAAAAAAAAAAAAATCAGTAAAATGAGTCCCTTTGGGGTGATTCACAGAGCAGAGTTCATGGTCAGCGTCCGAGGACCTGAACAAATCTGCAGGGGAATTCGGTGTCCACAGCAGCCCAGTGGAAGAGAAGGCTTTGGAGAGAGGTGCAGCCTGCTCCAATCCTCGTGCCTGAGCGGCTCAGGCCCAGGAACGAGCCAGACAGTGGGCGGGAGGGCAGGCGGAGAAATCATTCTACAATCCAAACCAAAACCAAACCCGAGGTTGTCGATTAGTACGCGTGAAAAGCCTATAAGGCAGGGAAGAGGTGTCCCATGAGATTCCCTAGGGTAGAAGTTGCTACCCAAGCGGATTGCCACTTATTTCTCCCACAGATTGGCTACAGGGTTCCTACTACCGACCTTTACGGTGGCAGCCAAGCACTTAACCACTGTGTATCCAGAGCTCAGATAAAGGAAACTCGTGATGGGGCGAGGCTGGGCTGAAGAGAAACAGATTGGGGAAGGGCTGGAAAGGGAGGGGTCCACTGGACTTGGAGTGGGACCGGGGAGGAAGAGAGTGGGAAGGCTGAGAGAGATGGGAGGGCGGTGTGAGAAGAAAAGCAGGCTGGGCAAAGAAAGAATTGGAATTCTGAAGGAACTCAGGGAAGGAAAAAGTATCGTAGAAGTGCGGTAAAGAAGAGCGAGGAATCGGGAAGCAGTGGAGGTAGGGGGCGGGCAGGGAGGGGGTAGGGGGACCTGGGAGGAAAGGACGAAATGAAGAGGTCAAGGCCCCAGTCGGGAGAGGTCCGGGACTGCAAGAGGAGAGGCTGGGGCCTGCATGGGAGCGCAGCAGCTTTTAACATCGATCCAGATTGTAAAGACTCGTGGCCTTTTCCTGACCTCGAAGGTCGGTAACAGGCATCCCAACCTTGTGGAAAGCCGTACCCCTTCGAAGGAATGGGGCTGTCCAGGGCTGGGCCCTGCGCCTGACACACTGTGAGACTTCCCTGGCTCGGAGCTGTCCCCCGAGGGCAGCACGCTGCCGGCCTGGTGATCTGGGCCCAAGGAGGCTGTAGCACCGGCCAGAGCCAGCTCGCAGCCTGCAGAAGAGCCAGCTGTCTCTGGGGGGCGCCGCCGCCACTTCCTCCTGGGCTCCGAGGAAAACGCAGCCACTGGCGAGGACCGAGGCCGGCGAGGCGCTGCGGAGGGACCGCGCCTCGGTGAAGGCGAGACAGCC